ATAGTATTTTAAAGTTCTGTGCAGCTTTGAAAATAAATGGATAACTTGTACGTCTAAGCCTGAGGTGGAGAGCTCTTCCTTGCTTAATAAGCTTTTTTTATATCTTTGAGAATATTATTTGATAATACGGTGTAACGTCGCTGCTGGCACATAACGCAGTCGTAGGCTGTGCTTTGCCTCTGGTTTCTGAAGTCTCCACTTCTGGTCTAAATGGGCACCCCAAGCTATCTTGCTCCCTCAAATTTTTATTTTTTATTTTAAGTGAGGAAGTTTGGTGACCCTGAGCTGATGGTTTCCTGTAAACATATGAGTACCCATCTTGTAATTCTGGCCAACTACAATGAATTTCTTTCTACAAATGAAAATCTTGAATACGGTGGTAAATAGAGGCTTAATAGAATCTAAGTGTAATATTTCTCTGTGCTTCCCCAAAGGCTGTCACCTCTGTGTGTGTTAGGCATTTGTGCTTAACAGCTGTCATACAGGTATGTGCCTTTCTATATTGTGGCACAATTTCCATACCCCTACATGGTATATAGGGTGCCTCCTGCTTTTGGCTACCAGGTCATCCTCAGTTCCATAATTACAAAACTTCTTTAAATAAGTTGCTTTAAAAATTACATTAAACTTCAGGTCCGTAATAGTAAACTTTACTGAAATTCTGTTAAAGCTGACCAGTTGAGGGAGGATTATCTTTCATTTATCCCTGTTTGATTTTTACTCCCATCCCACCCCCAGTTGTAAGAGATACTTTGTCAGATTTTTCACCAGATTTGCCTTTTTTATTACATTTGTTAGATTTTTGTAGCTTTCTATAAGATGCATAAAATACTGCTATTTTTCCTGGATAAGGTTGAATAAATAAATGTATATACAGGAAATTTATGTTCTAGGTTGTCAGATTGTCCCCTTGTCAAAACAACCCACAAATCCAAACAAACCCACAGTGGAAATTTTATGTGTAATATAATTGTGAAATAGTATTGCTTATAGCCTGTAAATGAAGGGGAACTGTAAATACATTTTCCCTGTGCACAAGCACTTGCACTGTAGTTTTGTATGCATTTCTAAGAGAGTAATTGTAGCATAACTGTTTTTGTATAGTCTGTAAGGTGTCCAGGAGTTTTACCTGCTTTGACTGTTTCCTGTTGTGTTTTTCCTTTTTCCTAAGTAGTCCTCAATTGTATGTGACTCGTTTTGGGTTTCAATACTCCAGTAAATTTGCAAAAAGAAATGAACTTCAAGCTGCTTTAATCATTAGTGTATAAGTTGAAAAATCTCTGTGTAGAAACTAGAGTTAAATTGGCCTGAGGCATGCAAAAGTGTTATGCAATTTAAACTTTATTAATAAGTGTTTCTGTATCAATAAATTCAGTAAAGACTTTTTAGCCTTCTTAACATGGCTTTGCATCGTGTTGTGATTAGAATACTTTGTAGATAAGTACTTATTTCCATAATTGAAGGTTAAGATTCTAGAACACTAGAAAAAGCACTTAATAATACAGTGCAGGTGCATAGTTCTAGAGGAACTCAGAATATAATCTCTCAAAAGAAACCTGCCTGGCTCATGATTTTTAAACCTTTATGTAATGGAGTTGTGCAAGCTGTATTTTGAAATTAGTGCACACAGCACTGATCTAGATTTAATGTATCAGTACAGTTAAAGAGTGAATTCACTTACCTGGCTGTTAGACCTGTAACCAACAGATCTCAGGTTATTTAGTCCATTTCTGTACTTCTTGCCTAAACCAAACATGTCAGGAGCTTGTTTAATGCATTCTGATCTGCAACTCCCCTCTTGTCTCCTGTGCTCTGTATCACTGCTTAATTAATGCAGATTTTTAAGAGCTGGTGTTCAAGGCTTCCATTTCACTAGTATTGAGAATAATATTTTGGCTTCAGCTGTAATAGGAAACTGATTGTAATTGCAAATACAGCTGTTGCTAATTAAATGTATCTGTTAACCTTTATTCCACAGGATAATTACCTGTAGTCTGTGTTTCTTCCCATCATCTGTGTGTATGATAGATGTCCTTTTACCAACTATAACATGAGACTGGTTCAGTGTTAATGTTTTCCTTCACGTGATGCTTGCTGAAAAAAAAAATCCTTTTCTGCTTTGGAAAGCTATGGATGTGTCATACAAATGGTATCAAGTAAATTAAACTTGTGAGATTTTTTTTTATGTTCACTTCATAGTTAAATGTACATCACCACAGTTCCCTGGGAAGTAGTGATGAGCTCTTCAGGAGACCAACTCCAATGAAATCTCTCTCCTGGGGCAGAAGTGATAGTTAAAAAAGGGTGGTGATGGGGGAAACCCCACACTTGAAAAACAAAACCAAACTTCTTTGCATTCTACCGGTGTGAAAAAGTCTGTCTAGCAGAGGCTGGAAATGCTTAAGCATGGGACACAAGCGTTAACTTTCGTTCCTGTTGCTTAGGAGTTAACTTTTGGTTCTTGTTCCGAGGTGCACACTCCTTTTTAAACAATTTGTCATGTTGATGGAAATAAGATAAATTAATGCAAGAGTAAGGGATCTGTGATTGCTAGTGTCTCATAACATCTCACAAACATCCCATTTGTCATGAAGGAGAGATAAGCGAGGTAGAAGAGGTATGTTTCAAGTTCAAGCAAAGATCTACTAAGTAAACATATAGGTTGCAGAAGTTGCGTTTTGTACTCAAATTATTCCCTGTGGTACGGCCACTGTTAAATCTGCTGACTTGGCTGAAGATCCTGTTCCTACAACGTAGTAGGCAAATACCCATCAATCCTTCCAGAAGCTGCCACCCACTGCACAGCCAGGCGCTGAAATAAGATTCCAAAGGCAGTGCATATAGAAACATGACTGATGCCTAGCCTGGCTCTCCTGTTAGCAATGTAAATAAATCTGGAAGGGATTTTTTTTTTTTTTTTTTTTTGCTGATGGTTGGCTTAAAGCTGAGAGTTTATGCACCAAGATGTAATTGGAGGCTGAAGGCAAAAGCCTTGTTTTTGTTAAGTGGCCAGATGTGCTAGGGAAGATGTTGACTTTCCTAAATACTGAAGCGTAGTTTGAACACAGCATTTTTATTTATTTTCCTAGAAATATTCTTTATAGAGCAGCTCCTAATCAGCTGTGTTACCCTGTCCTAACAGAGTTCAGTGTCTTTTGGAAAGAGAGATGGGGAGTGATCAGGCTGGAAGAATGTGCGACTTACGTCTTGAAAACTGATGACATAACCTGTGTTGTCTCTTTTGATGCACCTGAGGGATGCACTTAACTTCTCAAATTGGAATTAAAAGCTGTCATTCACCTCGAGCAACCTGCTGTCAGTTGTTATATAAAGGACAAAGCAGATAAATTACCTTTTTATAACCTGTTTTCGTAAGAAAGGGCTGGGTGGCCACTAGAGGACACTCTGCTCAAAACCATGAGGTGGGTCCATAGGGGAGCAGGGAGGAGTTAGCCAACTTGCTTAGGTTTAAAGTGATGTCAGGGCAAACAAACAACAGATTGCCTGGGGACTAGATGCAGAAAACCTGCACTATAATGCCCCTTTATAGCTGGAAAAAAAATAATAAAGCTTTTACCATCTATGACATGAAATTTGTAAGTGAATCCCCAAAACCCAACACTCTCTCCCCAAAGACTGAAGTGATAAAGAATGTGAAGGGAGAAGAGAACCTGGGAGGTTTAAGCTTGTTAAGTCACTCTTGTTAAGTAGTGTTTTGTCAGGTTAATTACATTGTAGTTTACAGTATAAAGCAGATGTGCAGGTCGATGGGAAACTTTTTTTGTTTGATCTTCCAGGTAATGTGGATTGGTGCCATGTTTGGAATTCCTCAGGTACCTTTAGATCCTAATGAGCGTTAATGCCTCACACATGCTAAACCCACACCTTTAGGATCTTGTCTAGTAATAACTTAAAACCTAAAGACAAGCTGTTTGCACTCTAAGCTGCTTTATAACGGTAAAAGGTGATTAATTCAGCTGGAAACAAGTCCTCCCTTTTGCATCTCAATGTTACCATTCAATGGGAGAAACAAACTGAGGTCTGCATTTCCTACAGTTCGAATTCAGTTGATGTCATCATTTGTTTCCCTCTTCGCCCCTCGATTGCCTTTAATTTCTCCAAAATCCTGACATTTTTTCAAATGACATCCTTGTAGAAAGAAATTATACTAGTTAAAAGGTATTTGAAATGAATTAGCTTTTACTCTGCATAAGAAACTTTACAGAATGCATGCAATCAGGGTTTTTTTGGTCTTTATTTGCAGGTTATTTATCTCTGTTAGTGATCTCCCTTTTAAAATCACTTATCTGTAGCATTCCATGCTCTCGTCAATGGTTGGAAACTTATTTTTGCTGGATGTTGTAACTACAAGTAATAAAAGACAGCCTCTATCCTGAAAGTCTTAATGCCTGATACATTTGACAGGCTGTTAGATAAGATGCTATCCTTACTTTGCAGAGAGTGTGCTAAGGCAAAAATTTTGACATAAAAAACTTGACCCTGGGCCATTTGCATCCCAGCTCAGCCCTGGAAGCACAGGGTCATTTTTTGGTCATTGGCCACAAAGGCGCATTCTGCATGCCTTCGAGAAGTGCCTGAGGAGAAGGTGAGGAGTTAACTTGCTGCTCAAAATAAGAAACAAAGCAAAAAATAAATCAAAATTAAAGTTTGTATTTCAGCACCACAATTAAAGAGGGGTGGGGACAGTCTGATCTTCAATGATGTACATAATGGCAGAGAGGGTGGGCGGTTGGACTGTCAAACTGCCTTAATTTAATTGCAAACACATGCTGATGAGTCCCCTCCTCCTGGACCTCAGGGCTGGGAAACTTTTTTTTTGTCAGCTCCCTGCAGTTCAGAATTGAGGCAAATACAATCCAGCAAACACCATGCTGATCAAATCTTCAGCTCTTCGAGGCTTTTTGTGTTTTCTCCTCTTGCCTAGTTTCTCCTGCTCCTGTCCTAGTCGCTGCCTGTGCTTCAGGACTACAGTAAGATGCATGCATCTGATGTTGGAAACCATCCCTGATATCCCACCCCAGACAAACATACTGTGAGTAACCATTTAATTTTATTGCCTTTCTTACCTGCTTGGTCTTTAGAAAGAAGAAAGAAAAAAGCCAAGGCCAAAGGCATGCTTTTTATCCTCCTTTTTTTTCTGCAGAGCTGTCTGCATCACAAACTGTTTCATGCTTTTAAAGCATAAACCAGAAACTGCTTCTTTTGGCATCAGTTAATTGTTAACAGGACAATCAAAGGAATTGAAAAATTTAATAAGAATAATGCCAGGGTGATCACTGGAAGGCAGTTTTGGAGAATCAAAGGTCACAAATGTTAAACTGAGCTTATAGAAAGGTACACAGTTTACATTTGAGAAGGCTTTGTGTATGGGTGTAGGGGAGAGAGGAAATACAGCAGTTCAGGCTTTTGTCTCTACTAAAACACTTTTCTAATACATACAACCCTATTTCTTTCCTAAACTTTAAGTACTGGTTTTCTAGTTTCTATCTGAACTATACAAACCAAACTTAAGGCTTATTTGGAAAGCAACAATTGTGGTAACTCACAGATTCCTTGAGAAATAAAGTACCTGTTGGCAAGGGAGCTGCTGGCTGAGTCCATTCCAACAGAAAAGGTGGAGGAAAAGGGCATGTAACGCCTAGAGACTCCTAAAAAGCTCTTACTGATGGATCCAGAAGAGCACTTCCCTGTGTCTAAACTAATCCTAAGCTTAAAGGTGGCTTTAAGATGCAGTGGCATGTGATAAAGTACTTCTGTTTGTGCTACTCTTAGCCGATCCCTTGGTTTGGAAGACCTTTTTTGTAAATAGTAGGAAAGACTTGTCAAAAATTTATGTTTATACTCATCCTCTGTAAACTGCTGCCAATTGTAAAACTTTTTCAACACTGATTTGAGAAGCTTTTTCCCTGTGCCTGTAACAAACCAAATTTGGTCTCAACCAGAACATCTATATCAGCATTTCTCCTGTAAACATCTCACTATATTGTTAATGCATTTTCTCTGCTGGCAGCCTAAGGAACATGATGTGGGCAGGATGCTGGCATTTTAATTGCTGCTATCCAGATCTGCTTTGGTGGATGGAAACCGCAGAAACTAGCATTAGTGGCACACAGGGGAATGTCTACACTTGCTAGAGCTGCCAAAGCTGCGCTGTTGGGGAAACATTGCAGCTGGGCTACTTCGGAGTCACCCTGACATGGGGCAGACAAGAATGTCTCCCCAGACGAGGGATGGTGAGGTTATTCTACAGCGTGGAGCAGATCAGTACTGTATGGTTTGTTGAAAACTGTCTGGGTAATGGTTACAGCAGCTTGCAGAGTCTGACTCTCCACATTGTCACCAATTTTTTTTCCCCCTTATTCCTCTGCATCTTGAAATATTAAAATATTTAAATACACTTAAACTGTTTAATTTTAGCAAAATAACTTGTTTCTCCTTGTTTAAACGTAGATTTTATTGGGGGAAAAGTTTGTTTCGTTGGCTGAACTGAGGTATTTCTGAGCTTAGTAATGCTTAATTTCTCTTCTCTGTTTGAACTGAGACAACGTTCCTGTCACACCGAATAGCGTGGGTGTGTTTCTGGTAGAGAACCTTGGAGTGCAGACGGAGGGAAATTCACTGTAGTCACCAACTTTTTTTCAGTACTGGAATGGTGTATTTCTAAATGTATTTCTGGCAACAGCACGCTTCATTCTGTGCTGCTGGGGGCAAAACCTAACTCTGGCCCATGGCTTGTCCTTGCAGCTTTAGGAAAATTCCAGGTAGTATCTTGCTCTAATGTAGGTGGCATTGAGTTGTCTGTAAAACTCAGTCTAGAAAGGTGACCACATTTTCCAGTGCAGTGTATGCGGTCACCCTAATTCCATCTCCCCTGCTCTAACTGGTTTGCATGTACACTGCTTGTAAATGGTCCATGTTTTTCCTGCTTAACTATTTGAAAGGTGGTTTATTTAGTTTAACATGGTAGCCACAGCCTCGAATGGGAAACTGGGGGTTTAAACATTAACTAAATGGTATAGCTGTGAGATATAAAAGTAGTAATATTCCAAAGTATTGGAGATTACTGCTTTATAGACTAGTATTTTTGAGGGAGGTTTATCTGGTTTGTTCTCTTCTCGTATTATCTGCATAATTATAAGCAAAACCCATACTGATGAGCAGAGATCCCTATAGATACAAAGATATACGAGCCTGCTGAGCGTTCTCTGTTGGCGGATCATGTGCCTTTGTATGATGTGCGGCAAGTAAAAATCCTGGTTTTCTGGCTATCTGGAAGATCTAATGTATGTAAATGCATTTGCCAGCCAGCATCCCATTGTATCTGTTATAAATAGCATTTGAATAATTAAACTTTTTTTAATTGTGAAAGATCAAAGAATACTTTTTAACCATGCCCTTGTCTACTCCAGCTTTTTGGTATGTTAATCTTTCTCCTGGGAGGACTGTTGTGTCAAAGTGAACATTCAGAATTACAGCAAGAATAGTCTTGATCATGGAGTTATTCTGAGTAGAAAATGTGGGATTGTGATACTTTCCACATTTGCCCTTTGGTATGAGTAGGACTGAGTCTGTGACTGCAGATACAAACACCGATCCCAGGCTCCAGCTCGGTTCCCTCGCAGAACAGCTGCAGTTTCCAGATGGAGTTTGCTTTGAAGCTGGGAGTTTGGGACTTTCTGACCTCCGTGACTCCATGCCACCCTCTCTCTAACAATCCTTGAAGAGTGGGGAAGTCTTCTAGCCGGCACATGCTGTGCTTCAACAAGCCCCGTTGGCAGATGGCCCCCTTGGGGCTGTGGCCAGCTGGCGTAACTTAGAGCAGCCCATAGCCTTCTCCAAGCAATGCTGGGATTGGCATGGAACCAGTTCCAGGATTGATGAGCTGTTCCTGGCTCCTCTTTGGTCGCCATTTCCCTCCTCCCTTCCCAATCCCAGCTGGGTGCAGCTGAGGATCTGGCCCAATGTCTGGTTTTAGCAATAGACTATTTATCTTTGGTAATGAAGTCTGTTCATTTTATCCTGAGCAGAGAATAGGATGGCAGGAATGGCTACACATGTACAGATAAATAAGCTATAAAAATTCATGGTGTATAACTGCAAACGTATTTTGGCTGCTGTCTGTTCAACTGGAACATGATTATCCAGATGTGATCTGCTGGTTACTGCAGGGATTCTAGCAGTTCTTTTAGCCAGCAGCCCAAAGAAGGGAACAGCTGTGAAACATACACTCAGAAAATTTCAATAGGTCTTTAACCTTCTAAGTCATTTGTTCTACAGTGTGACATTTAAAACAATAAACTTTGAAATGTGTGGGCATGAGTAGAAGAAGGAAAGAAGTTCCCCTCTGGCTGGCAGCTAATGGATAGCAATCCAATTATCCATGGGTTATTCTCCTTTCTGCATTATGCATAGCACATAATGAATAAGTACTTCTAGAGAAACATAGCTGAGGGCACAAGCAAAGACAGAGCAGTATCTGGGATCTGAACGCATCGCTGGCATGAACTGAAGGTGACCCAGTTGTTCACAGACCTGGTTGCTAATTGGGCAGTGTAAGCACGGCCAGCTTGACAAGTTTTGTTTCCCTTTGTCGTTGTGCTGCTTGTTGGGTGGCCGCTCAGTTCCTTTCTTCCTCCTGCAGGTCGTTGCAAGGCTGTATTAGGACAGGGTGCAGCTCTCTTAGCCTGTCTTAAGGAGTGCAGTTTTGAGAAGGAACTTCATACATTTGTTGGGGAAAGGTTTACTGAGCAAACGAGTTCTTGGAAATGCTGCTCCCTTTGTGGTCTCTGTCGTGTGCTTTGAGTTGAAGAATGGATTACTCATTTCCTCTGCGTGTGATAGTCTTATATGCAGCCATTAAACGCACACCCACGCATTCTGGATGTGCCAGGTGTGATCTCCTTCTGACTTCTTTTGCTGAAGTATTTAATCCTCATTAAATCTTCTAGAGGTGACCAAAGTCTTCTGTATGTTCTGTTTATAGAAGTCCCTTCATTGGAAGTAAAATGGGGAGGGAAGGTATTTAGAACATATTTTCCTTCCAGAAACATTCCAGCATCTTTTGATGAAAGCATTCTAACTCTTGCAGTTGTAGCTACCTCAGGTGTTTAGAAATCCTGCCTTCACTGAACCTCACAGTGCTTCATGGTCTGGTTCCCACTTGAGTATTTGCATTTTCATTGACCTCACCACATCCTTCTCCCCATAGGTATACCAGGATTTTTTCCTGGGCTCTTTAAGAAGTCAGTGTGGTGACTTTTGTCATTCTTTTTTGGTTGAAGAATGTGTGTGTATTCTGGGTAATAACTTAAATGGTCATGCTCATAAAAAACAACAAAGGTAGCTGACCCCTGTGCTACCCAAGACTTGGTATTAAAGAATGCCCCAGCAGTTCATTTAAACTGGCATGGTGGTGCTGCTTCTTGGACTCTGTGAAAAAGGTAAATGTATCTTTACGCTTGGCAATTTTCTTTTACTCCCTCCAGATCAGGGTCAGAACACACTTCAAGAGGAGGGGAAGTTGTCTTCGTTTGATGTGGGCAATATCTTGAATAGATGGTGCCAAGGAAATATGCATTAGGTTAAGAGAGTCCTGCTCCTTGCTGACATGAATGCCCAAGGATAGACTTAGCTGGTTTGATGAGGATCAAACCCTAATCTCCATACCCATTGCTAATACATAATAGCTCAAATTATTTAAGATTGATGAGGTCAACAGTTTGCTGTGTAATCTCCCTACTTAAATATGTGTCCAGGGCCCAAATTATGTTTTGAAGGTTTTCCTTGCTCCTACCTTTACTGGCAAGAGCTAAAGGGATGGTCTGTGGCAGCCGAAGAAATGATTCCACCAGGGATGAAGCACCGGCAGATCCCTCCTGCCCTGGCACTGCCTTCAGGGCCAGGCTGTGAAGTGCAACATTGACGCCAGTTTACGTGCACGGAAAAGGTGGGAGCAAAACAGCTTGGTATGTTGACTGCTGAATTACTGTCCTGCCCTAGTTGATGCAGAGGTATCCATTTTGAAAATCTGAC